CGCCCCCTTCTAGTCCCTGCCCCGATGCCCGGCACCAGGAGCCCTGGACCCGGGCCAGGGAAATCCGCAGCGCGGCCAGGCAAGGCGGGGCAGTTTGGGGGGCCAGGGACCTCGGGGCCACTCTCCGGCTTAGTCAATCCAACCACCCCCACCCCCCACATGCCAGTGTGTTCGATCCCTTTCATTCTGGCAAACCTCCCAGAGCAAGGAATTGTCCAGGGGCAGAGGGACGGGGCCAAGCTCTGAAGTGGAAGACTCGGGACGGAGAAGGCCTGGACGTGGGGGCTGTGGGCGGCAGGGTGCTCAGTCGGCCCCAGAGTGGGTGGGCCTGTCCTAATCATGCAGGTTGGAGTGCAGAGGAGAGGACGGAGGGGCGGATGGCGAGGAGTGGCTAACCGTCAGCAAGAACAGAGGCCTCAGCCCCAGCTGCTGAGAACCGCATTCTGCCAGCAGCCAGTGGGCCGGGCCAGGGGCCCCACACCTCACCTGTGACGGCAGCCCTGCCCCCATCTCGAGTCAGCCCGGGAGACCTGAGCAGGAGCCCGCAGGGCCGCACCCTGACGCCTGACCTCGGCAGTGCGGTCCCAGCCCCCGCGTGGCAGCCCTGAGTGAGCATTTACCGAGAAAAGCAGAGAGGAGAGAGGGAAGGGGAGGACCGCGGGGAGGGACAGCGAGCTGGGCTGTGGGGGGCTCAGGACACCCCAAGCTCCGGGGCCCTGCCGGGGAGCGCGGGCCCCTGCAAAGAACCGAATGCCGTCATCCAGAGCCCCACCACGCAGGTTCCGAAGTGAGGCGGGCACAGGCACAGAGGAGAGGCGGCGTCCCCACTGCCCCCATGAGCCAGGCCTCGTGGTGGGCGAGAACCCAGCACAGCCACCCAGGGCCCCCCTCAGACTATAAAGGGACCCGGGCGTGCCCACCGGCTGGGTGCACAGGCCACGCCGCTGCTCCCTTTCCTTGCGTCTTGTGTGGGGCCTGTCAAGCACGCCGGGCTCCCCAGCTGAGCAAATGAGGGGCAGAGGCAGGGGCTGGGACACAAGGGCAAACCCTGAAGTTCGGGGCTCCGCCGTACCACCCCGGGAAAGGAGGGCAGGTCAGACTGGCTCCCCACGCCTTCAGCCTGGGGCTCCACCCACACTCCTGGGTCTCCAGATGCGGGGTGCCGGCGGCAGCGGGGACAGCCCCGTGGAGGGTGGAGAGGTCAGAGATCACCGACACCGGCCTGCAGGCAGAGGCGGCAGTCAGGGACCCACCTGAGAAGGAGCCAGGGCACCTTTGCCACTGACCCCCTCAAGACAGGAGAGCGCTGGGTCCGTGAGCAGGGGCACCCGCCACCACCACCCCCAAACTTGGCTTCGAACAGGCCCCAGGGGCCACACTTCTCCTTTGCCTGCACTGTCGGCCCCCGCCCCGACGAATCTAGAAGCTTCCAAGAGGTAGGAAGGGCCACAAGCCCTGGAGTCACAGGCCCCACAGATTTCCCCAGGCCCAGGTGCCAAGTGCGTAGGGCAGGATGCCTCCACACTCTGCCTTCAAGGTCGGCAGCGGCAGCCAGGAGCGCCCCGGGCAGGGGTGCGCGATCTTCCCAGGGCTGGCTTCCCAGCCACTGGCCGTGAGAGGTCTGCAGGCTCCAGGACGGACGAGTGTGGAGGACCTGCAGGGAGGGGCCTGGGCGGCTGCTCCCACGTTGGCGTCACCTGTGGGGCCGGCCAGGCCGCTGGGCTGACAGGGCTGGGTGGCGATCCAGGCAACCACCCTGTCGGACAGACCCAGAGTCCTGCTCACCCACCCGGGGCACCGGGGACAGTGCCAAGAAGGCCACAGCTGCAGGGTCCAACCCTGTGTTCAAGAAAAAGAACAAGATGGGGCCTTAACCACTGGCCAGAGGGAGACGGGGGCCAGCACTCCTGCTGACCGTGCGGGGAGGGACCAGAGATGCCATCCGAGGACCACGGGCGCCCCCAGAGGCAGCAGGGGGAACTGCACCCATCCCCTGAGGCAGGTCCCAGAGGGACGTGTGGGTATGAGGGAGAGGACGTGGGGGTGAATGGGGGCCAGGGGACAGCCCCAGAGGCCACGCAACAGGGCGGGGCTGCCCTCCCTCGACCTCCACCCTACCCTTCACCCACACAAAGACAGAGGGCTCCCTGCAAACAAGGCTACTCCACGGAGGACAGAACCATAGGCGAGGACGCCGTGGAGCAGAGGACACCATGGGGTAACACGAGCGGGAATAGTTACTTTACAGAGAGCCCTGCCCCGGTTCTGTCTCTCCCGCAGAGGGCGGGCGACGGACCGGATGAAGGTAAATGGGTGGGGAGAGAGGACGGAGGCCTGGTACAGCAGGGAGGTGGGGACAGCAGCCCCTGGACGGAAGCAGGCGAGTAGGGGGCTCACGTGCACAGACGGGCGGAGCCGCGCGTTGGCCTCGCACACGCGCCCACAGGCAACGCCCCCGCAGGCACAGAGCCGCCGGCAGTGCAAGCTCAGTGCGCACACGTCCGGCTGATCGGCAGCTCCGGGCAACACAAGCCCCCCCGGAGAGGCAAGTGCCATGGCAGCCGCCAGTGAGCCGTGAGACCGGGCTCCGGAGCGAAGTCTCAGGGTGCCCGGGCAACGGAGGCTGCCGCGAGACAAGGCCCCGCCTGGCACAGCTCCCTCCAGCCAAATCCGGTTTGGGAAACTCAGCCCAACTCACATGCCAAGTGGCCCCTTTCAGCGGAGTCTCCGAGCCCGCCCACTGCTGGGGTCAGCTGGCTGCCGAGTTCTCTTCGCAGCAGAAAGGTCATTTGAGGAAACGTTCCCATCTGGGAGGTAGCTGGGCCTCACGGGCTGCGGGCTGGGCCGGGGAGCCTGTCCCCACACTGACGGGGGCGGGTGAACAGCACGTGCACGCCCCCTGGGGCCCTCCTCTTTCTTCTGCAGGGCACATGCCCCGGGACAGGACCCCCCTGCATCCGCCCCCCAGCCCACCTGGCGGTCCACCGACCACTGCGGCTGGGTCTTCTCTGTTCCCTGCCGCCCACGTGGTGAACTTCTGGGCTGGGAATGAGGACAGTCCTTTGCTGCCAGACCCCTAGTGATTAAGAGGCTATTTTTTTATAAGGCAGCATGTGAAAAGGCTGGCACTACCCAAGCCATAGGTCGGAGGGCAACCCAACCTGGGGCTGCTGGCAGGACTGTCCCCAAGTCCACCCTCAACCCCACTACCCGAGGGCCTGGGGCAAACTGCCCTGGCCAGCCGGGTACTCCCCTGCGTGAAGCTCCCGCACCCCAGCCCCTCCTCGCCCGCCGGCCCTCGGCCCCGAGACCCCCCTGCTGCATCCCTGACGTTCTCTTTGCCCCTGACTTTGCCTCCCAACCCCACCCAGACCTGACTCCCTCCTGGTCGTGGCTAACCAAAGTGGAAGGGACTTAGAGTCCGCAGTGGTGTCTGCTGAGAAGCCAACTCAGAGAACCCCAGGGCTGACACAAGCCCTCTGGTGATTCAAGGCGGTGCTGTCCTTGACCCCTCAGCAAGCCACCGCGGGAACAAGGCTGGAACTCTGGTGACCTGGCGCTGGTAGCCAAGAGACCACGGCCGTCTCTGGGCACCAGGCGGAAGCCCCCGTCCTGCCTATGTGTGCCAACACGAAGGCGGCACCGGGTCCCCAGATGCCCCCAGGTAACCGCTGAGCTCCAGAGCGCGTGTCCAGGAGAGACCCTGATGCAGGGCGGCTACTAACCACAAAGCTGTAAATGACGTTTGTTACTGGGATGTGAGTCACTGGGAACAAAAGCTGTTTGTTCTAGACCTTCCAGCTGTTCCAAGGGACGACCAACTCAGAGCCCTGTGGTCCGTAACTCACCGCCGCCCCACGCTGGGGGCTCCTGCCGGCCCAAGAGCTTCCCACAGGCTTTCTCCCCAAGTTGAAGGAGGCCCCCAGCATGGGGCTTCTCCTGGGGATGAGTGAAAATGAACGGGCTGCGGCGCCAGAGCCAGAGAAGCCCTGACTGCTATACTTTAAACAGGCCGTGGGACAGCCCAGCGGGCATGCCAGTAAAGCAGCTTCAGAGCAAAACCAGACAGACCCAGGGAACCCCTGCCCTCGACAGCCCCTCCTGAGCAGGGCTGGGCCGTGCCCTCCCGCCCCCTGGAGAGGCAGCTGGCCCCGGGCGGAGAATTCCTATTGCAACACAGGCGATGGCCAGTGGGCACCCCCCACCGAGCAGCTGAGGCCTGGATGGGCCTCAGCCCAGCAGTAACCAGGCCGGCTGACCCAGACGGCGTCTACCTGCCACGCACGCAGGCCTGACCGCACCGCGGCACCAAGCGCAAGTCCCCAGGAACCCACGCAGCACTGCCGCCCGCGCTCACGCCGGGGCTCTGCACGGCGCTCCACTCAGTACCCTCCCCGGACCCACGGCAGGGCTGACACAGGATCGAGGGGCTGAGGGGAGCCGTGAGGGGCACAGTGGGGCTGCGCACTGGGGTCTCTGCCTCCCAGTCCCACAAGCCGACCTCCCTGCCTCGGACACGTCAACCCAAGCCACGCCCCCCCAACCTCGGACACGTCAACCCCAAGCCACGGGGCTGACACAGTACAGGTTCAGCGATGGCCCCGGACACGAGTTCGTGAGGAGGCCGCCCACAGAGCCACAGCTACCGCTTGGCTCCTTCTCCCAGATTCTGACACACGCAAAAACGGTTTTCCCCACACGATGGACACAAGATACAAACACGACTGGGGAACCAGCACCTGTCTGGTCACACCACTGGCCGCCACCCTGCTCCTAAGAGCCGCACAGCACTTTATTCACGGACACTCCCACATCCGGCCAGGCCCTGGCCCAGGGAGGCGGTCTGCCAAGCAGTTGTATGTCCGGGGGCTTCCTGGCCTGACCAAGGTCAGCAAGGCGTCCACACTCTCTGGGGCCCGACCCTCTGCCGACACAGCGCGTCAGAGCCGTGGGAGTCCGTGTCCTCCATCTCAGGAACAGGGCCCTGCGGCCCTGTGCCCCAACACCACTCAGCGCAAGAAGCCAGAGGGACAGCACCTCCCTGCGTGTGCTGGGCCTGCTGGGGTCACTTCTGGCCCTGCAGCAGCCGCTGCTCGGTCTGTAGCTCCTGGCATCTGGCCCCCTTCGCTTTGGCCCCAGCCCGAAGCCGCCGCCTCTTCTTCTGAGCCCCTCTCCCGCCTGGGCCCCCACGCTGTTCCTGGGGTGCCACGGGCTCAGCCCCCGAACCCCGCCGCCGCCGCCGCCGCCGCCGCCTCATCCTCCTCTTGGATCCGGAGCTTGGGTCTGGACACGAGTCCTCCTTCCTGCCTTTCCCTAAAACAGCAAGGCCACATGAACGAGGCACCGTCAAGGCATGGTTACCCCACTTCCGTTCTGACTGCAGCGCCAGCTCCAGGACCACACAAAGGACACACAAGAGGACCCGACAGCCTCGGTGGCAGACCCGCCCGCGCCAACAAGAGTGTCCCTGCCAGGGGCGCCTGGGTGGCTCAGTGGGTTAAGCCTCTGCCTTCAGCTCGGGTCGTGATCTCAGGGTCCTGGGATCAAGCCCCGCATCGGGCTCTCTGCTTGGTGGGGAGCCTGTTTCCCACCCCCCCCCTCTGCCTGCCTCTCTGCCTACTTGTGATCTGTTTCTCTGTCAAATAAAATAAAATAAAAATCTTTAAAAAAAAAAAGAGTGTCCCTGCCAGTGTGGACGTCAAGTCCCATGGCCATCAGGCAGACATGAGACAGTGCTGGCTCCCGACCTGGCAGGCTGACCCGGGCAAGCCCGCAGGAAAGCCAGCAGGCCGGCAGACTTGACAGGAAGTGGCTGCGAAGGTGAGACTGAGAGGATGGGCCGGCTCGAACCCAGGACGGAGCGGACCCAACCTGGTGCACGACAGAGCCACGGGACAGGCCAGTGAGCACAGCGAGGGCCCAGGCGTAAGCCAACATGGGTGGAGGTGACCCGGGCAGGAAAAGAACCAGGGTGAAGTCAGGAGACCCTGCCAAGGGCAGACCCCAGACCAAGACCGTTAAGCACACGCGGGCGACACAGGAGGGCTCTCAGCCAGGGCTGGGCCCACACCTGTCCCTCTTCCGCAGCCCTTTCCTGCCCTGCTGGTCCCTCGCACACAGCCCATCTGCACAGCAACGTGGCCCCATGGGGCAGTGCGCGCAGGGCAGCCGCAGCAGGGCTTTAACCACAGTCCTGTGGACAAGCTGGGAGGGAGGGGAGAGCAAAGCAGAGCCCGCAAATACCAACGCCCCAACAGCGCCAGACGCCGCCCGTCCTACCTGGATGGTTTTGTGACCTGGCTTTGGGCAAACGCTTCCTTGGCCTCCTCTCCTGCTCCTCGTCTCGAAGGTTCCTGTAGGCTTTTTCCGGTATGTCATCCTCTGGGAAGGTGCCTATAGACCAAAGCCGGCCGCCAGGAAGCTAAGGCAGGGCGGGTGTTTCCGGTGTGCACGTCGGGGCCGCGCACAGCCACACGGGCACCACCGCCGTGCACTCCGTGCCCCATGGCCCCGTGCTCGGGCCCAGGCAGCCGCCAGCGGCTCCGGACTGTGTAGGAGGTGGGCCGCCAGCCAGAGCCAGGTCCCAGAGCCCTCACGCTCCCTGGTCCTTGATTCCCTAAAAAGGCTAAGGCTGAGAGGGGCCATGGTGATGCTCTCCGCGTCGACGGGGCTCTGTGCGTGGAAACCCCACCACACACACACGGTGTTCATGCACACCGCCGCGTAAAAATGTTACCAACAAACACTGAACCTGAGTGCCCAAGGACCTTGTGGGGACAGACGGAGGGAGGACACGAGACAAGGACAGGAAAACACCGAGGGCAGAGACACGGTGGCGGCTGTGCAAGCTTACACCATCAACCACCGCCCCCAATGCTGCTTGTGTCTAAAACCTCTCACAGCGGGAGGGCCACGTCCACGGCACCGCCGACCAGCCACAGGGCAGGCCACAGAACTCACGGGACATGCAGGTTCTCAGGCCCCTGCTCTGGGGACCGGCACTGGACGTCAGGCCTCCTGGGGATTTGGCACACCCGGACCCGAGAGCCACCGAGAGGGGCAAGGATAAGCCGCAGAGCCCCCCAGGACCCTCTCCCAGAGAGAGAGCCCCGCCTGGGCAGCGACGGACCCCGCAGGGAGGGCGACCATGGGAGGCAGTGTGCCCAGGACGAGGACGGGGCTCCAGGCCAGGGTCTCGGCCTGAGATGCTCACCTTCCGCGAGGTCCTGCAACCTGAAAGGAGAGACAGGTGCTCACCAGGGTCGCAGCTTCCGCATGAGCGGGGACCGGCCCTCCCACTGGCTGCCCCGGAGGCCACCCTCAACGCTGCCCCGCCATCTGGGTTCCGAGGGCAGGATGGAGGCACCGAGGCCGGGAGATGGAGCCAGGTGGGGCGGAGGAGGGTGGGGCAGAGCGAGAGCAACTCCAAGGGGAAGGGGAGGGCGTCGCCTGCCCCCTTCAGGGCAACGTACTTCCGGATCACTTTGTAGAGGCGCTTCCGGTTCTGGGAAGGGGTGCTCTGCTCACTGGCCACCGCGAACAGTCTGCCGGCCACGGCCTCGTAGTCAAACTGCAGCACAGGGACAGACGCCGGTCACCTCCCGGTCCAGGACCCAGGAACCAGGTGCGGACCGGGTGCAGATCCTCCGGTGGGTCCCAAGGACACGCACAGGCATCCTCCCCTCCCCGAGCCCCCTCTGCACACGCGAACGCTGTGTGCAACACGAGGCAGCAAACGTGCCCCTGGGGCCGCTGCCACCCTGCGAGGGGACCACCCCGGCCAGGTAGCCTCTGTGACGACGCCCTCCAGCAGCCACGTCAGAGCGGCAGAAAGAGCACGCGTCACTCTCATTTTGACAGATGTCATTTAAGCCAATACACTTCGTTCTCACTAATTTAACAAGTAACCAACGTTCACAGCTTCCCAGCAAGTCTGCTCCCGCTGGGCTCTGACCCCAAGCAGGACCCGAGGCGAACTCCCGGCAATGCCGTCAACTCTGCCCTGTGCCCCACGAGGCAAGCAGAGAGCACACCCGGGGCCGCTGAGCAGCAGCGCAGCCCAAGCCCCACGGCCACCCCCGCCCCGGTTTCAGGGCCTCCCGGCCGCTGCACAGGAGGGGCCGGCATGCCTGCCCCCCGCGAGCCCAGGCCACCCACCTGGAGGACAGGGCCCACGGCGTCCTCACCACGTCCCAGCGACTCGTCGCTCCTGTCGGGGGGTGCAGCCCCACGGGGGGAGCCTGGAACAAAAGGGCCCTCATGAACTCAAGCATGCTTGCCCAGCGTGCACAGCACCCGGGCACAAACACCCAGGAACCACGAGCCCGTGTGCCGGGGCGCACGACCTGGGCAGAGGCACGGCTATCGGCTAGGGCAGCTTCGAGGAGGGCGAGGAGCCCCTGGAGGAGACGTCCCCAGGCAGGCGGGCTGGAGCGATCGTCCTGATGGTGAAATTAGCAGGGATGACCCACGGATGTCTCACGAAGCCGCTATAGGGTCAGAAATCCCAGAATCAAGGAAGAAGGGGAGCCAGGTCCAGCCACCGCGCAGGCCAGATCAAAGGGCCAGAGAGACAGTGTTTCTGATCGTTGCGGGCTCTGTGTCACTGCCTGCAGAATGGACTGACAACAGGCAGGCGAGTGTGACAGAGAATGAGGACGGCGGGGCCGCAGGCAGGCTCCGTGGGCCCACCAGTAGGCTCCTGGATCTGCCTGTCGGGGTGATTCAGGCCAAGGGACAGGACGGGCAAGACGCACAGGATGGCGGGATGAAATGCTAGGGACACGGGGGGCACGGGGGTGCACACAGCCACCTAGAAACACTCCAGCAGGGCTGTCGGAGCGGACGGCAAGAGAAAGGAACCCTTAACTCCATAGGGCCAAATTCCATAAGGGTTCCAGAATGTTCACCGGGGGAAGGCAATTTCTTCAAAAAATGGTGCTGGGAAAACTGGAAGACCACAGGGAAGGGAACGAAACTGGGTCCTCCACCCAAGCACAAGTTCAACCTAAAGGAAATACAAGACCTCCGTGTGAGAACTTAGTAACACTCTTTTTAAAAACACAGAGCAGAGACGCCTGGGTGGCTCAGTCATGATCTGGTGGTCTGATCACGATCTGATCATGACCTGGGTGGCTCAGATCATGCCTTCAGCTCAGGTTATGATCCCAGTGTCCTGGGGTTGAGTCCCGCAGCAGCTCCTTGCTCCACGGGGAGCCTGCTTCTCCCTCTGCCGCTGCCTGCTGCTCTACCGGACTATGGTCTCTCACTCTAACAAATAAATAAATAAAATTAAAACACACACCCAAAAAAACACAGAGCAGGGGCACCTGGGTGGCTCAGTAGGTTAAGCCTCTGCCCTGCCTTCAGCTGAGATCATGATCTCAGGGTCCTGGGGTCGAGCCCCGCATCGGGCTCCCTACTCAGCGGGGAGCCTGCTTCTCCCTCTTTTTCTGTCCCTTCCCTCACTCTAACACAAATAAAATCTTAAAAAGAAAAAGCAAAAGCACAAAGCAAGACCTTCATGAGACCAGCTGCACCAATGAGCTCTTAGGGCACTGAAGACCCACGGGGCAGGACAACACGCCCACTGAACGCGATGGAAGTTCCCGCTCTGCGCACCAACAGCCGCGATGCAGAAAGCCGCCTGCAGAAAGCGGGGAGCTACTTGCGAGTCCTGGACGGACAGGGCTGGAGCGCCCAGAAGGCAGCCCGAGCTCCCAGCACTCCACAGCACGCGACCCCCCGAAAGCAAAGGACTCGAGCGCACAGGTCTCCAGAAAGACGGACAGATGGCCGACGGGCACGTGAAGACGCTCCACGTCCCCAGTCGGCGGGGACCTCAGGGAGATACCCCCTCCCACCCATGGGGGTGGCTCCTGGCAACATGACAGGCCGCTGGACCCCCACGTGCTACGGGCGGGTTCACGGAGAGATGCGGCTGCAGTGGGAACAGCACAGTGGGAGGCCCTCAAGAATGTTAAGAATTACACGTGACCGCACAAGCCTACGTCTGGGTACCGGCCCCCAAGAACTGGAAGCCGGGTCCCCAAGAGACACTTGCTCACCTGTGCTTATCGCGTTACTCCCCAGAGCCAGGACATGGCAGCACCCACGGGGGCCCTGATGGACGCGTAGATAAGCACAACGCGGCCTCACGTGGTGGGACAGTACCCAACCCTAGGAGGAGGAAACAAACTGGCCCATGCTGTGACAGGGACGGACCTCGAGGACACCGTGGCCAGTGAGATGAGCCAGCCACGGGACAAACAGCGTGTGACCCACTCACAGGAGGGACCCAGACCAGTCAGACCCACAGGGACAGGGAGGCGCAGGTGGGTGCCAGGTGCTTAGGGACAGGTTGTTGCGGGGAATAGTGTTTCCGAGTGGAAAGCTGGAAAGTTCTGGAGGCGAACGGCGGTGGCGGCTGCACGAGCCCGTGAACGCAGTGAACGCTCACACACGATCAGTTCCTCTCCCGCCCGGGGACAACCCCAGGGAATGCTTGGCCAAGGCCCCGCCCCCCGCCGCCCCAAGTCGGAGTCTCCCGGAGCCTGGACCACCGCCGCAGCTCGTGGGAGGTCTGAGCTCTTGAACCAGCCCTGGGAGTCGGAGCCATTCCGAGCACGGGGATCCTCGCGGACCGCAGGGTCAGAGACCTGAGCACTGAGTGCCCCAGAGGCTTGGGGTTTGCCACCTATGCCGCTACAGAGGAGGGGAACACAGCCCTGTCCCCGAGGCCACACGAGGAGGACGGAAGACGTGGAACCAAAGACAGCGGTCTCAAGAGAAGACTCTCAAAGGCCTGGCGCCCGTTTCACCATGAAAAAGATCTCTGATGGGGGCGTTAAGACGCGGGAGAGCAGCAGCGAAGAGCTCTCGAACACTACGGGAAAACGGACAGACTGACAGGACCGAGGAGGCAAAGGCAAGAAGAGGGGCCCGGCTCTTGCAGCATCTGATGACAGTGGCTCGGCAGACAAGACTGTCCCTCAGAAATACGTCGTCGTGAAGCAACAAGAGCCCCATCCAAGCCAGAGACGGCGACGGCCTCCTCCAGCCAGAGCTCGAAGTGGTTCTGGAAACCTCGGTGGTAGGCATGGAGGTGGCCTGGTGGGAAGGACAACCACGGTCGTGGAGGGCATTCCCAGGGGTGAGCCGGCAGCCGCGGGGCAGGAATGAGCGGAGCTGGTGATGACGGAGCGACTCCACGGCAGGCGGAGGTGGTAGGACTTGGGCAGTTGCAACTCTGGACCCGGGAGGAGCGGATTTTGGAGGCAGGGGCTCTGGCCCGTGGGGGCGGAGGCCAGTCCTGTGCCAAACCACGAAACCGAGGCAGCCACGGCGGCTCCGGCTGCAGCAGGAGGCTCTCCTCGCTGCCAGGACAGAGCTGAGCAGGAGAGCAGAGCCGGGGGCGGCCACGGGGGCGGGGGAGCCACAGGAGGGAGCCAGGCTAGCCACGGCTTCCAAGAGACCTGGACCCTCAGCCACGCCCCGTGGCGGCAGGGCCAAGCTGCAGCGGAGAGGACACGTTCGAGAGCGGGAGAGCAAAGGCCTCGAGGACTGATGCGTGACCGAGCGCATCGGAGCGTCCGCTTCAGTTCTGCGGACAACACAGCGCGTTCCCAGAGGACTATCGTGGGCTTTTCCTGTCCTGCCCGCGCTGTCCACCGCTAAGCCAGCCGTCTGACCAGACGCTGAACAAACGTGTCTTAAAAGAAAAAGAGAAGCTGACGTAGTAAACTTTACATGATGCGGATTTTACCACCAAGAAAAAGAACAGGTGGCAGGGAGAAGTCCCGAAACCGGCGCACTGATGCACCCCTGCAGCCACGGGCCACGACCCAGTCCACGGGCCCCCTGGGATGAGCCCACGCCCCGCAAGGAGCCACGTTAGCGTCGAGACCGTCAGCAGCAGCGGGCGCCCGTCCCTGACCCCGAAGGCCTTCAGTGGACACCACCCGTGGCACGTTTCCCTGTGGGAGGACCCACCGCTCCCTCGTTCCCCCCAACCCCCATCAGGCGGGCTCCTCCTCTGTGCCGGGGTCGCTCCCAGCACTGGGGACGCAGCTGTGACCAACAGAACTCCCTGGCCCGGGAGAGCCGACATCCGGTGGGGAGAAAAGGCCCCGAACGATAAACAAGTAATTTATGTGATTTCGAGTGACTCATGCCAAAAAGTACGACACCTTGTGGAGAAACCCAGCAAGGGGGACTGGGTGGAGACGGGGAAGTCCGGGTGGGCCCGGTGGAGGGCGGGGACCGGAGAGGAGGGGGGAGCAGGGCAGAGGTGGGAGTGTGGGGGGAACAGTAGGCCAAAGACCAGCGGGAGTCAGGACGGCATCCTGAGAACAGGGCTGGGGGGGCGACCGCAGGGCCCCCCGCAAGCACCGGAGCCTGCCGGCCTGAACGGACACCGTCACCACGGCTGCGCTGACCCCTCACCTGGCTCCGCGGACGGTGCATCCCGCTCGCCCTCCTCGTCCTCCGACGTCCCCTCCTCCCCCTCCTGCGCATCCAGTTCGTCCAGAAGGTCCTCGATGGCAAACGGGGCCTGTTCCACGATCGCCTCGAAGACGCCCCGAGTGATGTTATGCAAAACCAGGGGGCTGGGGGGCAGCAGGCGCCAGCGGGCCCGTCAGGCTGGGCGCCTGTCCCCACCCGTCCCCGCCCCCGCTGCGGCCCCTCCGGCGACCGCGTCACACACACGCGACCCCGCCTCTCTCCCCGGGAGGGAACAGCGACTCCCCCCAGGCGGGCACCCTGAGAAGCCGAGGGAAAGAAGACCCAGGCCGGAGGAGACGGCCCACCACTCACTCCCGAGTGCGAGCAGCGATGGCGCAGAAGGGCTCGATGAACTTGAGGTTCTGGTCCGCCGTCAGCTACGGAGATAAGGAGGGGTGGCTGCCTCGGTCCCTGGTGCGGGAGCCCTGGGAAGGGGTTGGCCACCGCCTGCAGCCCACGGCCTCACCTCAGCAGCGCCCACTTTGCTCAGCTCCTCCAGGAAGATCTCCAGGAAGTGGCACTTCACCCCGCTGGGGGCCTGGCTGTCGGGGTGCAGGATCTCCGTCGTCAGCAGCTCCAGCAGCTGCTCCATCTGCCTGAGGGCGGAAAGTGGCCAGTGCGGCAGGCCGCCCCCGCCGGCGAGGAGCCGGCACAGCGAAGCCATCCCGGGCCAGCGCCCTGCCTCCCGGCTCGCCGGCTTCCCCACCTCCACGGGAGGTGACCTGGTGACCTGGGTGCGTTCCAGCACAAAGGACTCCTAACCACGGACTCGGGACCACCGTCGGCAACACAAGCGTGGCGAGAACACGCCTCCGCTATAAGGGCTGGGCGTGTACACGTCGCACCCGCTCACACACGCCTTCCCTTGTGTGCGCGGACCCCAAGTGTAAGGGCAAAGACCTGGTGTGACAAAAGACTACACCACGGCATCTTGCATCGCCCTGTCCTCACGGGAACTGTCCAGGAGGGCACACCAGGGCAGAGGAAAGGCGAGGCACGGAGACGGGGGAGAGCCGCGTTCCCGGTCCCGCGGCAGAGCATGTGGCCCCGGGCCGGCCACGTCCGCCAGCCCCATCTGCTGTCCCCGAGCGTGCTGGTGTCCGTGGTCTCAGAGGCCTGGGGCTCCCGGGTCAGAGAGCTCTGGTGACCAGTCTTTGCTGATCTACAGCCTGGGGACGCTGAGTAACACACCTGAACCGGAGACACAGTGGTGTGTAACGAGCCCTGCGGGGGGCACACACAGGACAGCACTGCGGCTTCACCAGCCCCAGCACAGAAGGGAGGATGCCGTCTGCGGCTCAGGAAAGGGGAGCCTCCTCCCAGGCCAGTGACACTAGCAAACGCTGACCAGCCAAGCAGGGCTACCCGGCTGTGCGGGAACGGGGACAGGCTATGGGAACAGAGAGCCGCTTCGAAGGGCCCATCAGAGACTCCCGGGTTCTCCCAAAGGCTCACTCTGCAGCCCTCACCAGCAGTGAGAAAGGAACTACTCTTTTAAGAACAAACCAAAAGCGTTAACAGAAATAAAACGTCCCTTCGGCTTCCGGTTCTGCTCATGCACGAGCCACCCGTGGGGACCGAATCCTACATCCTGAGACAGTGAGACCCCCGCGGCTTGGCTCGCGGGAACGAAAGGGTGAAAATCCGGCCCCCGAAAAAGTCATTCGTAGTAATTCTAAACTCCGAAGACCCCAGGGAACTACAGGCTGCTCCTGCCGATCTGTTCCACGTAGGAAAAAGTGGGGCAGGGGCAAGTAGGACACCCTGCTCTCCTGGAGCCCAGCCCCTGGGCCGGCGCGGGTGCTCGTGTCCACGGACTGCAAACAAACCGGTCGAGCGTACCCAGCCTCATTACAAAACCATTCCAAACGTGCCGTTTCCAAGTCTATCTCCCCTCGCCACCACCCCCCGGAGCACACAGAGGGCACGGACACGAGGGGCGCTGGCGTGTCTTCAGGGAAACCACAGCAGCCTGCAAACGGTCTGCCCCGACACCAATGCCGCCCGGAGCACGGCGGCATCCCAGAGATCTGTCGGTGGGGGCTCGCGTCTTCCTTCGACGTCTGACAAAAGTTTTCTGAGTTCCTTCTACTGGGAACGTGTCACTCTCATAATGAGAAAAAAAAACGAAAAAAATGAAGCTTTAAACTAATTAAAAAAACTTCAAAACGTGAACTCAGAAACCCGTTTGGTGCGGCGGCTCTCGGGCCACCTCCCAGACGCGGAGAGGCTGGCCGCCACCATGGGGAGCCCCGGCTAAGCCGGCCCTGCCCCAGCGGGCGCCCCGGAGGGTGGTGGAGCTCGGGCTCGGCACAGCCCTGCCAGCCCGGGGCCAGGGGAAGCCCGAGGCCGGCCAAAAAGACAAGCCTCGTCGTCTGGGGGACACGGGCTACCCCCCCCACAAGCACCTCTGTCAAAAGCGACGAGTCCGGATGACGTGTTTCTAGAACCAAGGCACACGCCACTGACGACGGAGCGAAATACGCCACGTTACACCAAAAAAAAAACCAACAAAAAAGAGCACCTCAGCTATACACCAGTTATACTGAAAAACAAAACCATAATAACGAGAAAACTCAGTTTGGATTCACAGAAGAACTTACCATCACGGCTGAAAACGTTCACTTCTGTGAATATACACACAAAACCGTAATTCTGAAAACACGTTCACGTCAAGCACCATCGGGTCCCCCGTTAACGGGAAGATGGACCTCTCCTTGACGAGGGACTGAGGGAGAAGCACGTGAGCCCAGCCCCCAGCCCCCAGCGCCAAGACACGCTCGTCTGCAAGAAGAGGCCGCGCTCTGGACGGGCCCCGAGTACCTACCTTTCTTCCCACCCGCGTGTCTTCAGGGCCTTCAAGGACTCGTTCAGGACCATCCGCATGAGCTGTGGCATGGACGGAGACCCTCGTTAGTGGGGCACAGCCTGACCTCCCCAGAACCCCCCGTGCTTCCGGTCATCTCTGTGGCCCCGAGCGCACAGAAGGCCCCCAAGAGCTGTTGGCAGAGGGGACACCGAGTCCAGAGAACAGGTCAGCGCCCCCAGGCTGGGGTGCGCCCGCCTTCCAAGAGCACCAGGACTCAGGGCTCACAGCAGACACATCGGGGAGCAACCGCGGTCACGAATGAAAGCCAAGTGCAACAATCATCACTTCAGGAGTGCGAACAGGGAACAAAGAGCCTGTCCCCCCGAGGAGGCTGAGGTCCTGGGGAAAGGCTCCCCTGAGCTTTCTGACGGACTGCTCTCCCCAACAGACAACAAACGTGTCTGCTTCCTCTCTCATCCCCAGAGGCAAAACTCCCCCCTTTCAAAGCTCACCCTTTACAACAAATCCTGACCCTTGCCCCACGATGCCCCACTTCCCCTTGACCACGGCTCACAGCTTCTCCAGCCGGTTTTCCTTCCGTCCAGATGGGAAGCCGTGCACACAGTGGGGTCCGCGAGTGTAAAGGGACCGAGGATGCATGTGGGGATGGGTTTCCTGGCCATCAGATGTGCCCCGGGACACGAGGGGCCCCGGTGACACCACTCCCAGTGCCTGCAGCCGCTGGAGGCTTGGCCTCTCCAGCAGGCTGTGCTGGTGGGTGCGGTCCCAAAGCCCCCCCACAGCAACAAAAGCCATCCTATCACGCACACAGCAATGGCACCTCACGGAGATTCCTACGTCTGTAAACCTGCGCTGTGTGGCCGTGCCCAGCCTGGCCCCTGCCCCCAGCCCCAGAGGCTTTAGCGTCCCTCCCTTCCAGAGCTCCATGCCTCACCCACTAGCTGGTGCTCACCCCAACACCTGAGACACACAGTGTCCACGGAACCCCAGGCCACGTCTGGGCGGGGAGCCGATCCCAGTGGCAGGTCACGAGTAACTGCAGCCCCAAAGGCACCATCCCCAGTGAGGCCCAGCCCACGGCCCGCTGGGCCACCCACTCGCAGACAGCAAGCCCCAGTGAACACGCCCTGGGAACAGGTGCCGATCAAATGCAGGTGGGGATCCGGAGTCTCCGAATCCCTGAGGGCCACGCAGTACCCTGAACTCTCAGGAGCGCGGCGGCAGAAGGAAAGGAGATTCTGCACACAACGGCTCCACCATCCATCCCCGCCCAGCAAAAAGCACCTTCCCACCTGTGCGCCCACAAGTGGATGAGGGCCTATGGCTGGGGCAAGAGCTCCCAGCAGGTCTGCTGGACGCACGAGCTCGTGGCTTCTCCAGCAGGGGGCAAGCCTGCAGCCCTGGTCCTCCTCAGGTGGGCGGCTTTGACCCTCCTCCTCTGAACCCGAACCTGTGCTGTTGAAGTCCTGAGCTCTCTGCCTGCTCACCTACCCTCGGAGATGGGGCACACACCGGGCAACCCAAGCCCTGCGCGCCCGCCACGGCCTGCGCTCCCCCCCCTCACAGGCCATGAGACGTATGGGTCAGTCCCCAGGAGGGCCGCCCTGCCACGGCAGGAGAGGCCCAGAGGCCACAGCACTCGGGGCTATGTCCCAGCTCCCCCGGCCCCGCTGGTTCCCCGGGGCCCAGAAGCGGAGCGCGGCCCCTCACCATGTAGAACTTGTCCAGGCGTAGTCTGTCGATGCCTGTCCACTCGCGGTTCATGGTCTGCCAGAATGTCTGCAGGAACAGGTGCTCTGAAGGGGAAAAGGTCAGAGAGAATCACGGGGGGATGTGGAAGTCGCCCTGGGAAGCAAGGGGAGAAAGCACGGAGAAAGCTGCTCAGGACATCCCAGGTGGCCAGCCTCTGGGGTCCTCAGTCCAGTCTGTCGCACTCAGAAGAGCTGTTACAAACGAGGCTTAGAGATGGGGCTGGGGGAACCTCAGAAAGAAAAGCCAAGCCCAGCTCCGACCTCCACCTCGGCGCCCCCGGAGAACGGGCACGGAGCGGGCACAGCCAGCGGCACGAGCAGCTGCTGCTCAGACCCCACCTGACCCCCATGGGTCAGTTCTTCCCCTACATGGGGTAGGGAACCCTGCCTGACCCCCACGGGCCGGCTCTTCCCCGTCCTGGCTTGGCTGGAACCCCTGCCCGACCCCCACGCCGGGCACTCAAATAGGCACAAACCCTCCCGATAACAGGAGGTCAGACACACGGTGCTATAGGCTAACCTGTGTCCCCCAAATTCATGTCAAAGCCCCAACCCCAGGTCCTCGAATAAGACTTTGTTTCAAGATAAAGTCTTCAAAAGGTTAATTAAGATAAAATGAGGTCACCAGTGTGGACCTTACACCGTGACTAGTGTCCTTCTAAGAAGAGATGGGGACACAGACACGCACACAGGCACACGCCATGACACGGGAAAAGACGGCGCCTGCACGCCCAGGAGAGAGGCCTTGGGGAACCAGCCCTGCCCGCGCCTTGACCTTGGGGAAGAAACGGGGCCTCTCTGATCCGTAACAAGTTTCTCCAACAGCAAAGGGCTGGTCAGACGGTATGATCGCGGGCAGTGAGTCCATGACCCATTCAACTGTTAGCGCGTGATCGGTTTGTGCCGCCGTTTGCTGAGCCCAGAAACTCTTCTGCAGGCTCTCACAGGGGAACGCTACGGCAGACGGACCCCCACTGACAGCTCAGATGCCAGCGACGCACTCCCAGACTGAGACCCTAGTCACTGTCTCTCACCGTGACTACTCTACCTACTAACTGTAACTCAACCAAACCTACCCACCAGGCGTAACCACGGGCCCCACCGGCAACGGCCACAGCCATCTATGTCAGAGGTGTGGGACCCCCGGCTGCCCCCCACCCTGAGCGTCAGAGGGAGGTGCCCGGGCTCCACCCCCCGAAGCTTAATTCAACTGGACCAGAGTCTGATATCAAGATGCCTACAGATGCCCAAGGGACAACAGCGGGCAGACAGCAGGGCTGAGGGCTACGGATCTCGGGCAGGACAAAAACACGGAGGAGTCGGGGAAGTGTTCACAGGGGAACGCCGCCACCAGATGACTCGGTTCAGCAACTCGACAACACTGCACGAGATGTCCACCTGCATTTTAAAAACTAGATCCTGGCCCTTCAGCCTCGAGCTGGGTCCACGCAAGATAAACAACTCGATGCGGCCAGACACGTGGAGCAGGGTTCCGCCGGTCAGCGCCTGCAATGCCAGCCAGGAAAGGGACCTCTGCTTGCCCCTTGTCTTAGAACGCAAGCCTTCCGTGTCTGGTAGCCAACTCTGGGCAGCTGTGCCCCTCCTAAAGGGTCTTCCCGGGGCCAGGGTACTCACGTGCCTCTGTCGTCTGAAAAGCATGCAGAAGCTGGGCTATGGTCCTCCCTAGTTCCTCCTGGGTAGAGAGCAGCAAACACACGCACACATAAGAGAAAAGAACAACACTCTCTGACCCCGAGGACACGTGGTCTCACAAGCAGCAGTAGGAACAGAAAGACACCCGCACTCCCCCCGCACTGCCCCCGAGCTCAGGCACAGGAGAACCAGCTCCCGCCAGCCTCGCAACCCCGCGTGCTTCAGGTCTGCAAACTGCACTGTTGTGAAAGGCCTCCTCCCGCAGCCGGAGCGGACAGCGGCACCCCACAACCACGGGCAGCCGCTGCCCCCACGACCGAGGCCTCGAGCCACAGAGGCTGACAGTCGAAGGAGGGCCCAGGAGCAATGGGGCGCCCTGAGCAGCTGGGAGAAACTGGACCCCCAGAAACTGCTCGCTGCCTGCCTCCGTCACTGCGTCACTGTGCCGGGCATCCCTTAGGGCACTTACTAAACAGACCATCCCAGAGCCGCCTTTTACTGCGCACTGAATACAGCACAGGACTCTGCGTTTTAGATGTACCCTCTCGGGGCGCCAGGGTGGCTCCGTGGGTTAAGCCTCTGCCTTTGGCTCAGGAGGCTGGGCGTCTGACTCTCGGATTTGGCTCAGTTCATGGTCTCAGGGTCGTGAGACTGAGCCCTGTGACAGGCTCCACGCTGTGCAGAGTCGGACTGGGATTCTCTCTCCCTCCCCGCCCCCATCCCAATGCACACCGGCTCCCTAAATCTTAAAAAAAAAAAGAAAAAAAAAAGATGGCATCTTGGGCAGTGACACAGCCCTGTGTAAGATCCTGTCCCAGGGGTGCGTGACAGCACACACCGTCCAAACCCACAGAATGCACACACTCAGGGTGAACCCGCACACCCGCTATGGACTCTGGGGGTCGGTCTGTGCCAGGCAGGCTCATCACCTATAACGAATGCACGGCTCGGGGGGCCGGGGGGGGCTGTGCACGTGTGGACAAAAGGGCTGTACAAGAGCTTTCTGTACCTTCCTCTCAATTTTGCTGTGAACCTAAAACTACTCTAAAAAATACTCTAGTTTTTAGAAAATTAAAAAAAAAAAAAACCTCGCAGTAGAAACCCTTTTCTCAGCAGACTTGGGTTCTGTCCCTCCGCGTCCCTCATTTTGGTGCCCGGACACACACCCATTCGGATGGTGCTCCCTTAGCACCACCACCTACACTCGAACCATGGGCCCCGGCCCTCTGACTGCAAACAAAGTGTCAAAGCTGTAAAACTCCACTCAGTGCCTTTGGCTGCACTGGAGAGAGGGTCAGCCACGGGCCCTCTGTCCTGCACCAACGATGGGGCTCCAGCAGCTCCGACCTCCGCACACTCACCTGGAGGAGCGGCTTGTCCTGCATCCACATGCAGTAAAACAGTCCCTTCCAGACCTTCAGCAGCTCGTCGTGAGTGAAACCACCTGCGGCGGCACCAGCAACACTCAGGCAAAGCGCACCCAACTGTCAGGGCCACACTACGCCAGGGACGCGGAGCCGGCCTTAGCTCAGTGCTCCACCGGGAAGCACACCGGGCCCCCCCACCCCGCACTGCCTGGGGCTCTAAGTACCCCCCGTAAGGGCCGTCTCATGATTCAGCAAACACCCCGAGTATCCGGATCCCGGGTCCCAGGTGCCCGCGCAGACGCTGGACACGGTGTGGTCTCCTGCGTACAGGTCAACTCGTTCAGCTTGACGCGCCGGGGCTCGTGCCCTGTCCGCGTCTGCCTCCAACTCCAAAGGGGAAACTTAACTCCCGCAAACGGTAAGGCGCGCGGGCATACAAGGGCACCGGGCGCACTAACGGAGGCCCGAGCTGCGCGCGGCGGGGGCTTCTGCGGCGGCGGTTCGCGGACTTCAGCACCAGGAGAGGACCCCGCGGGGGGCTCCTCCCGCCGGGCTGGGGCGACCTCCAGCGCTTCGGACTCAGGCGGCGGATGGGGCTCACGACTGCGCTGCTAACGGACGCCGCTCGCGGGGCCGCCCTGCCGGCGCCGCGTCCGAGCGCCCCGTCCACCCGAGGCTGCGCTGGGCCCGGCGGGGTCCGCCGCCGCCCGACTCGGACCGCCTCCCGGAAGTGCAGGAGGCCGCTCCGAAAGCGCAAACCGCGGGCAGCGGCGCAGGCGGGATCGGGGTCCCGGGAGGCCGCCGGCTCCGCGGCGCCCGGCGGGGACGCGGCGCCAGGGGCTCGCCGGGCAGGAAACCGGGCTGGGACAGGCTCCCCCGCAGGCCCCGCGCGCGCGGCCCTGGCCACGTGCGCGGCCCACGTGGTTCCCAGGCTCCCGCGCCCCCACCCCCGCCAGCCCGCGCCCCTCGCCCCGCGGCCCCCCCCGGCCCCGGCCCACTCAGCCACGCGCCAACCTGCGGCCCGCTGAGTCCTGGCGACGATGTACTTCCGGAGCCTCTTCACCGCCCGGTCCCGGGTCACCTGCTCGTTTCCCGCCAGGCGCTGGGCCAGCTGGATCTCGGGTGGGAGGTGCACGCGCGGAACCATGGCGAACGCCGCGGACCCCCGGCCCGCCGCCACCCCGTCTTTCCACCGGTGCGCGCGTGCGACGTCACACGACAGCGCCGGTCTCGCGCGGGCGGGTGCATGACGTCACGGAGCGCGTCGGTTCCGCTCGGGGCTCGTGACGTCACAGGGCCGCGACGGCCGCTCCGGAGCCGCCTGCACCGCCGCCTAGCGGCCGGGCCGCGCAATGCCGGCGTCGCCTGCCGGGCGGGGTGTCGGTTCGCTCGGACGCTCGGGATTAAAGGGACGCCCTGAAGCGTCCGCGCGCCTGACGGTCACTGGACCGTAGTTCGGCCCCGACGGAGGGGGAAGGGCGGCTGGGCCGGTGCTCCCGTTGGGTCGGACTCGCGCGGCCGGGCCGGGAGGAGCCGGACGAACCCAGTAAAGGACTCACGGGGGGCCCGGGAGCGCCGGGGAGCGGCTGCGGAGCGAGAGCGGCCGGAGTTCGGTTCGGTGCCGGCCCCGGCCTGAACCGCGGACCCTCCGCCGGCAGCCGGACACCGAGAGCTTCCCGGGGAGCGGGGCGGGGCCCTACCGGGACGGGCGGGCGGGGCGCGGGCGGCGCGGGAAGGGGACGCGCGGCGGGGACGCGCCCTCGGGCTTCTCCGCGCGGCCGGTGGAGCGTCCGGTCGTGGTCAGTGTCTCGGGGAAGGAAGTGCGACAAGGGGAGCCGGGGGCGCCCGCGGTGATGAAAGGCCACCGGCCACGGGGCAGAGAGGCCTGAAGCCGCGCCTCTGGGTCCGCACGCCCGCGCGGGACAGTTCGCGGGACGGCGGGGGCGGGGCGGGGTGCGACGTCCAGAGCTTGCGGGAACCCGGGCGCGCAGGGAGCGCTGAAAGGTCCCAGCGACGACGTGCGGGCTGCAGTGCGGGCAGGTGCGGCTTTCCCAGGCTGGAGCAGCGCTGTGTGCGCGCGAGGGGCCAGCAAAGTCGCTCTGAAGTGCTGTGTGTCCAGGGACCCCCGTGAGCGCCCGCGGGCCCTGATGTGCCAGGGGGACTCCTGCTGTGATGTGTTAAAGCAAAAGGAGCACCGGAAACGGCTTGCTGAGTGAGGCGAGGAGGGGCTTCCAGAAGCTTCTCCCGGTGGGATCACAGCATTTTGTGAATTCGCAGCAAAGAGCTGTGACACGCGTGCGATGCTGTGTAGTCCGGAGCGGGTCAGAGGTCAGCCCCAGGCTTCCACCGAGGGGGATCCTCCGCCTGTCTCGTTCCAAAATTCCAGGCTCCCAGAGGGAGAGCAGGTGTCCCTCACCAGCCTGTGAAAATCAGCCGGGGGACCCTCACCCACGTGGAGCTGGGAAGCTAGAAGGGGGGCCGCGGCCCGCCGCGATTACAGGGCAGGTGTCAACCCAGGCTCAGCGGAGGAGCCCTCCACAGGAGAGTCCCTGGTGAGGGTCCCTAAGGGGAGAGCTGCCTCCTGCATCCCCCATGAGACATCCGCCGCCGCTGCAGGCAGCCCTGACCTCGTGCTCCTCTCCGGCGAACTAATGTCCACAACGGCCTCTTCCAACTTCCTCCTCCGTCCGCAGAAAACAAAGCTTCTCGCCTTGGTCGGACTGGCCAATGGTTTTTCGGTAGCTCGCTTGTTTCCAGACACAATGCTCTGCTATTCCTGAATAAACCCCTTTTAGCTGGCAAAATAACTTTATTTTTAAGGTCCACAAGCCACACTGTTTGTGCAAGTGGTTTTGGCCCAGGGAGGCGCTCTCATTGCGTGGCGGGAGCCCTCTTGACATCCACGCTCCGGACAGCAGCCAGCCTTCCGAGCGCGAGGTTCTGAGGAGAGCAGTCAGGACTCCCCTTCCCTACACACGTAAGACATATTCTCAGTTAGGGGCCAAACCGGGTACGAGAGCCGCCGCAGACCATAAATGACGAGCAGGCTGTGTACCGGAAAGCTCTGTGTTCAAAACCAGGGGGTATGTGGGGCAGCCGGCTGGCTCCGTCCGTGCAGCACTCAACTCTTGATCGTGGGGTTGTGAGTTTGAGCCCCGTGTTGGGCATAGAGCTTACTTTAAAAAAAAAAAAAAAAAAAAATAAAAAAGGAGCGGGTGGCGTTACAGATCTGGCCCACGGACGTTAGTTTGCCAACACTGGATGCCAAAGAGTACCCTCGCCCTGAGGAAACAACTACAAAGGGGGCAATAGTGAGGTGTCCCAACGTCAGGACGTTGATTCAGCAAATAACCACCTGTAGTAATGGGCAAATAGAGCAAAATGTTAGCAAAGGTGGACGCCAGGGGCAAGAACACAGGTGTTGGCCTGTTTTTCCTATTTTGTCCGTGTTTGGAGATTTTCATAACAAAGTTGGGAAGCATTTTAGAAACTGCTTTTATTTATTTTTTTAAGATTTTATTTGAGAGCGCACAAGCGGGGGGGTGGGGCAGAGGGAGAGGGGGAAGCAGGCTCTCCACTGAGCAGGGAGCCCAATGCAGGGCTCCATCCCAGGACCCTGGGATCATGACCTGAGCTGAAGGCAGAGGCTTAACCCACGGAGCCACCCAGGCGCCCCCAGAAACTGGATTTAGAATCAGAATGAACTCGGTCACCAAATGTTTACATCTACGAATAGTGACATTGGGAACAAGACAAGGCCAGGCAGGGAAGAGACACTCATGTGTGGTATGAAGGGCAGCGTGATGAGCTGCGAACGGTCCTAAAGCAAGAAGAAAAAGACAACCAAGCCTAAGAAAAGAGCAATTTCAATGAGCACGTGGTGAATTTGTGACACGAGACTTTACCAAAATAACAAAATGCACCAACATGCGCTTTAAAATGTGCCTTACAGTGTGAACAGCTGTTGGATGCTGGCGGCTAATGGGAGATTAGCGCCACATCCGGTGGACCTAAAAAATAATGTGCGGGTGCCTGGGTGGCTCCGTCTGTTGGGCGTCCCAACTTTTGACTTCGGCTCAGGTCGTGATCTCAGGGATGTGGGATCGAGCCCCGTGTCAGGCTCCACACTCAGCAGGGGGTCTGCTCGAGCTTCCCGGTCCCTCTGCTCCTCCCCACACTGGCATGGGTGCTCTCTCTGGCTCTCACGCTCTTTCTCAAAATAGATCTTTTTTAAAAGGAATGAATGTGCTCTATTCTGAATGCAAAGTTATCCCTCTTTCGAAACCTGTCAAAGTCTGCTGTGCATTGCAGGCAAGGACCAGCCATGGATGCTAAAATTGGGGGCAAAAGTGTGATAGGAAATACGGTATTTGCATAGTCTCAAAGGTACTTACTGGTTACAGTAGGACATAGTCACTCTCAAGTGGAAAACCTGGAAGACACCACTCTATTCAAGACGGAAGTCACCGTCCCCCGTGAGAAGACATGCGGATACCAGGTACCCTTGATGCGGAGCACTGAGAGGACACAGCATCACTGTGGTGAGAAAAAAACACACAGCATCTCCGAGGGCCCCAGAGACATGGGCAGCCGGTTTAGATTTCCAAGTCAGCATGACCGTACGGAAACTGTTTGAACCAGAAATGTGACTCATGGCCCAACACCCCACACATCCTAGGTGCACCTGCTTTGTGAACGAGTGAGCTGAAGGGAAACCATCTTGCCCTAGAGATTCCACAAGATGCCAAAAAAAAAAAAAAAAAGGCACATAACCCTGCAAAAGCTATTCATTCTCCAGAGTGTAACTTGGGCTCAAAGAAAACTCTTTCTGACTTTGATTCTCAAAGTTGGCTCATTTTGCATCAATAGTGGTCTTCCTGCCCGCAAACCACAACATCAACCCGATCAGGAGGAAATACCCCCAAGCCCCAAAGAGAACCAGTCCTCAAGAAAAGGTGATCTATACTCTTTAAAGGGATCAAGGTCCTGAAAAACAAAGGCTGAGAGACAGACTGCACAGCCGTGTGGGAGAGGCGGGACCAGAAAGATGACTTTACTGAGACGATGGTGAGTGAGTCAGTCCTGTGGGTCAGCGCGTGTGTTGTAAAGCAAGATTCACTTCTTGCTTCTGAAAACTGCTGTCTCTGCTCCGTATAGTGCCAACATTTGGGAAAAGTTTGCACAAACTGCTATCTTTGGAACCTAAACTTATCTCAGAATAAAAGGTTTTAAGTTCTAGAAAAGAAAATAAAAGCCAGCCAGGAATGTGGGGAATGGATGTCTTCATCTCGTATACACATCACCCCGTCATGTCTGCCCCACAAAGGCGAAGCCGGGTGTGTCTGTCCGCCCACACCCAGGACTGTGTCCGGTGCTGACAGTGTGGAGGACAGCCGTGAACAGCTCACTGGGTACAAATCAGGAACAGAAGTATGCTTATTTACTCCACAAATAATAAGGGCCATCGTATTTCCATACAGTAGCTCATAGAGCCACTTCTCACCCTTGTCCTGCTGTGAAGGCAGAAAAATCCCTGTTTCTGGATCCTGTGTGTTGCTCCCTCCGCAGACTCCAGGGGAGGACCCTTCCTGCCTCCCCCAGGCTCCCGGCACGCCGTGGGTACAGGTGGCCTCTCAGCCATCCCTGCCTACCCCCCGTCCACTGAGTCCTTACCCGCTGTCCTCCTTGCCTCGCCCTCTGGGTCTCCCAGTTTTCTTACAAGGGCACCAGCCATTAGATTTAGCGCCCCCCCCCCCCCGCCTCTAGTAACCTCTCTTAACTATCCATAGCTGCCAAGACCCTATTTCCAAATGAATGGCTCCTTCCCAGGTTCCAGATGGTCGTGACTTTCAGGAGACACTATGGATCCCACTACAGAATGGGGGAGGAAGATAAAATCAGTAATGTCTCATGAATGGTTACTCCGAGCCTCAGACTCTGCATCCGCCTTTAGCAAACCCTAAAACAGTGCTCCAAGGGAGGTATGATTTTTGCCATCTTGTAGGCGAGCAAAGAGGCTCACAGGTTACACTTCCACCCAGCACGTAGGGGACAAGGCCAAGGATACGCCCAGGCTGACCCACGGTGCTCAGGGGTGTGTGAGTGCCCTCCATCCTCACCAGGACCACTTCTCGGGTGTCCCCCCAGGGCCCCGAGGCTGTTGCCTACAGACCTTCTCTCCAGAATCAAACTCACTTGCTCACGGCATGCACGTAGGTTCCTTCCTCATGTTTATGCTCTCAATTTCTCATTATAGAAAATTAGGGAAATAAGAAAATTTAGAGGAAGGAACCAGACGTAGCCTCATGGTCTGAAAGAACAAGTTGGCACGTATCTGCTCATTCTCTGCATCAGATTTTCGGTTAATGACACACTAATGTATTAATATAACTTATTAATTATATTCATTACACTATATTGACAGTTTCGAAGCTGCTTTTCAATAACATACCTAGCATCTTCCCACGGTATTATTAACTTCTCAAGAATATGCGGTTCTCCAAAATAAGACAACTCTTATTTCTAAAAACAAAAAGTTGTTTAATAAAGCTTCAGAAAAATACAGAAAATCACATGGAGGAAAGTTCTTAAATGCCTCTGACCCACCGTCCGAGGTGGCTATTGGAAACAGCTCAGTGAACACCGCCAATTCCGGGGCTGCTGGGCCCCACTGCGCTCCCGAGAACCCAACTCTCCACGGGAGCCTGCAGAATGGCAGTTTCAACAGGCAGCTGGGCGGGCAGACAGCAGGGAAATAGAGAAACACCCTTCGAGAAGCCCTTCCTCCCAAGGCACAGCCCATTGTTACGGGTGGGACTGGGATGTGCTTCTAAATTCCAGGATGGAGATGCTTATAAATTTTCTCTGCATCCAAGAATTTTCCTTAATTCCTCATACTGATTGCTTCAACTGTGGTTTTATTTGTGATTTACGGACGTATACAAGAAGCAAGTATTTACTTAGTTCCTCCTGTGTGACAGGTGCAACGGCAAGGACCGGCCCCACTGTTGCCCGTCTGCCTGCAAGGACACAGACGTGGAGCAGATGTGGAGAGAACCACTGGGGTGCCCAGCAGGTGCATCAGGTGTACCCCGAGAGTCAGCTGCCCCCCACCACCTGGGGCCTAGCCTTGCCCTTGACTCTGCTGAGGCTTCTCCGCTTAGGAAACCCTTGGCCTGCATTAGTTGACAACAAGGGCCTTTTAAGAGTCTACGTCTGTTCCCTCCTTTGACTTGTCCCAATTTCTGCAGGTCCCTCCACCCCTCCCGAGGGGCTCAGAGCTTCCTCGGCTGGCGCTGGCTCCCTTCGAGGGCGCGGCTCAGAGGTAAAGCCACGGTGCACTCGCTCTGCAGCAACCACAGGTAGCCAGGCCTGGGATGCACCCTAACGCGGGAGGCAGGATACTGGTGCGCCTGCGTGGGACACCTGGTTTGGGGTTTTCCCTCACTGTTACTTCCCTTGCTAGTGACGATGGACTGGTGACCGGTAACTGCTTCGTTGTGTAAATCTTCCATCTTTCCTTTTCGTTGTGTTTTCCTTTCCTTTTTTTTTTTTAAGATTTTATTTATTTATTTGACAGACAGAGATCACAAGTAGGCAGAGAGGCAGGCAGAGAGAGAGGGGGAAGCAGACTCCCCGCTCAGCAGAGAGCCTGATGCAGGGCTCGATCCCAGGACCCTGAGATCATGACCTGAGCCGAAGGCAGACACTTAACGACTGAGCCACCCAGGCGCTCCTCTTTTCTTTCTTTCTTTCTTTCTTTCTTTCTTTTTTAAGGGTTTCTTGGGCTGGTATTTAATTAGCAACGCATTCCGATGACGATTTTTTGCATGCAGGAACACAAGCACAGACAGACTAGCTCTGGGAGCAGGTGTGGGTCACCAAAGAGGGAAGAAAGGAGCTGAGCACCTTGCTGCGGAAGAAGGAAACTTTTGACATGGAGAAAAAAGCCCCTTGCCTTCCCCACGCCAAGCAAACCAGACACTGCACAGCTGGGGCGTCACAGATGTCAGGCGCAAGTGTTGTCCAAGGTCTTGGCTCTAAGAGACGTGATACTCGGTCTTTTTCTCTGGCTCCAGCAAGATGAGAACCCGCAGCTTGAAGGAAGGAGAGATAATGCCAGCCTTTTGCAGTGCCTTTGGATAGAAAAAGTGAGGCTAATTGTGGGAGAGATTTAAGTTAGTGTACTAATTAGAGATAGCATAGTAATAGCACTATAGCTCGCCCTGGGGCTGGAATGCTGTCCCAAACATGTCGCACTGATTAACTCATTTACTCCTTAAAAAAAAAAAAAAAACAACTCAAAAGCCCTGGAGATTGCCTCCCCGCAGAGAAGGCCAGAGAGATGTCCCGCAGCCAGTCCCATGCCGCACAGCCCATAAGAGGGAAGTGTGCCTCTGTGCCTGGCATTTGGCCTCCGAGTCTGCTCTGGGGCTGCTTGCGAACATCTACGTGGTCCCAGACCTGCTGCAGGAGGAAACGGCGGCTGCAGAGAGCAGGATCACAGACGGACTCCACGGAGGGTCCGTGGCCACACCATGTACATGGGACCAGAGAACTCTGACCCACAACCTCTACACGACCATCTGGAAGCCACACCGAGGCCCCAGGGCTGGACCAGTCAGGAGTTGGCCGTGACTGCCCACTTCTCTTCCCCTCCTAACTCGGGACAGCCGTCCCTGAAATCAACCCCACAGGATGCATGGTTTGTGAGCCCGCCCACAGTCTCCATGGAGCTCACCTTCCTTCTCTTCCATGCACCTTCCTTCTCTTCCATGACAAAGCTGCCCCCATCCCGGCCTGCTGTGGATCTTTGCCCATCCCCAGGGCTGCCGGGGGCCAGCTTTTGTTTGCTTTCCTTCGGATTCTCTTTGCTTATTCCCCCGGGCATAGCCTCCTGTCCATAAAATCGCAGCACGTGAGGACCGGGGTCCAGCAGGGAGAGAGCGTGTCAGACCCAAGGAGGCATGTGTTGTAACATAAAATTTCACTGTGTGAGTTCAAAGGTCTAAGTGGCTTTATGGAATGACCCGCTAGTAGACTGGCATCCCCTCCAGCAAGAAGAGAAGAGCTGGGGCAGCTGTACAAAAGGTAGGGTTGTTACAGGCGGAAACAGTGCAGGACAATCAGTGAAAGAAAAGATGGTTTCCGGTGAGGTTACCTTTCCTGGGGTGGGGGGGGGGACAGGGCTTTGAGCCAGCAGATTCCCTCCTCTTCTTTGGGGGCAGGGAGAGGGCCCCAGGGACAGGGTACCTCCCTGGGGACCTCCAAAACATCCTCACGGGCGGTTAGGGTTACACTTGGTAGGGGGAGGTTGGGACTGGGGGGCGGGTGTGGTTAGGTTAGCGATGACTTCCTGGCTTGGTGACTTGGCCTAAGTGGCTCCATTCTGGGCCTGATGGTTTTCTTTTTAACACATTGCACGATGGAGCAAAACCCTCTGGGGAGGACAGAGAGAGGAGGGGAAGGAGAGGGCAGCAAAGCCCACTGAACTGCAGGGAGAATTGCCTTCCCTTCCCCATCGTGACAGTTGTTTTCTGATGGTTTGTTTTCCGTGTAGGGAGGCTCTCCATTTTTATGGAGTCAAACCTGACTCACACATTTGTGCAACTGGGAGTGGGTTGTGGGATCTGCCCTTCCCCACTCCTCAGGGCTCAACCACACCTCATCCCTACTGAACTTACAAACTGGGCGCTGCCCTTGCAGGTACCAGAAAATCTTGTCTCCCCACGCACCTGCTCGCTGGGCCCACCAGCAGATAAGGGTGGGTCTACTCCTGCCAAGTCAGCAACCACTGAGGGGGGAGGCCAGCATCCAATGAGGGGTTGGCCACAGGTGGCAGGGGTCTGGACCTTTCTAAAAGACCAATCCTGTCTGGACAGCTCCTAGCCTGGGCCCTACCCCTGCTCTGAATAAAGTGTGGGACCCTTCCCCTTCCCTGGGTGGTGTAATCTGTCTAATCTTAACCCAAATCCTATCCTAACCAAGCCCTTTCCAAATGCCCTTGCTCTGACCACTCCTCCCCGAGCCTGGCTGGAAGTCTTGGGAGCCATCTCCTGCCCATCCCCCGACAGATTCGTGTCTCCTCTGTTCACACATGCCAGCCCTCCACCGTGCACTGGGTCACATGCTGGTGACTAACCTCCATTGTTAGTCAGAGTTGCCGGGGCGGGGAGGGGGGCCAGGCCTTGAGGACGTGGGGCTCAGGGCGGCTGAATGCATAGGGGAGTGAGGCCGGGCAGGGCCTGATCCTGGACTCTGGGATGCGCCAACAGCCTCCTGCCCTGTCCCCTGCTCCTCCAGGTCCTGGCTGGGCACAGGCTCCTCTCCCCTCCTCCGGGGGCTCTCATCTGGGGTCGGCTCACCACTTGACTGCGGCCCGCTCCCCACCCCACCCCAGCACTGCGTCCAGCCCCGCGCAGGGTGACTCCAGACCGTCCCCTCCAGAACCCACCCCCACCCCCATGTGGGCCGGACCCCAACTGTCCCCTGCAGTGGGGACACTCCGCCCTGACCCGCCAGAGAAGGACGACACCGAAGCTGCAGTGCGGGGACGCCCCTACAGCACGCGACCACTGATCCCCACGTGGTGCGGACAGTGAGGGTCCCCGTGGTCCCCCGCTCGGTGAGCGCCCAAGGGAGAGGACAGCGACGGTCCTTCGCCCCTGCGCACCGCCGCCAGCCCCCTGCCCCGCCCTCCTCATCCCCCGGCCCTCCGCCGTCGCTCCGGCCCCGCCCTCGGCCCCCATCACTCCGGTCCTCGCCCCGCCTCAGGCTCCGCCCCAGCCCCGCCCCCGGGCCACGTGACGTCCGCTTTTTTAGCTGAGCGGACACCTGGGCGCGGGTCGCTGCCCCGCCCGCCGCGCCTGCCCGCGTCCTGCTCGGCTTCCGTCCGCCGCCAGCATGATGTGCGGGGCGCCCACCGCCTCGCAGCCCGCCACGGCCGAGACCCAGGCCATCGCCGACCAGGTAGGCGGGAGCGGGCGGGGCTCCGGCCGGGGCTGCGGGGCCCGCGGTGCCGGCCCGGGGTCGCCTCCGAGAGCGGCAGGTGGCGGCGCGCGGGGGCGCGCGGGCCCGCGGAGGTTGCGTCTAGCGCGCGGAGAAGGCCCGGGACTCCTGGCGGACGCCCCCTCCCCGGGCGCCGGGCACCCCGGCCGGACTCAGGGGCCTCCGCGTCCGGCCGCCGAGGAGGGCGGTGACTCAGCCCCACGGGACCCGGGGAAATGGGGAATTTGCAGCGACTGCGGGGCGACCCCGCCCGGGCCGCGGCTCCGCGCACTCCCCCGGCCGCCCGCGCCTGAGGGCCCTGCCCTGCCTCGCTGCTCCTGCTTTTCCCGGACAGACGAAGTCCTCCCTCGCCCGCGGAGTGCTGGGCGTGTGTCAGGCCGCGGGCCCTAATCTGGTGTGGGGCGCTGGGAAGTGACCGGCGGCAGTGGGGTTGCTGCGAGGGGAACTGCGGCGGCCAGCGCGGCTGCTGACGGGCGGCTACGAGGAGAGAGGCCGCGCCGCTCCTCCTGCACGTCCCTGCTGGCTCCTTAGGGGAGCACCCCGGGACTGACCCCGCTTCCCAAGACGTTGTGTACCTGCCCCGATGAGGAGTGCCCGCCAGTCCTGTCCTGGGGCCTCCCCCGTACCTGACCTGGGGGCTCTTTCTCCCCGTGGGCACCGGTGTCGGAGCCGCCCTTCTACAGGCAGGGGCGGGCCTGGCCAGGCAGGTAACGGCATCACCTGTTACCACCCTTGCCAGCAGCCTAGGGCTCTCCTGCCTCCAGTCCCCAAGCAGATGAAGGGGAGGTGGGCCCTTCTGTGGGTGTCGCTAACAACAAACCCCCCCCCCCCCCCCGCTGCCAGTTTTGTGAGCTCAGGGTCCGTTCCGTGGTGCACACTGGGCATGGCACTTGCAGGAAGAAGGGGGCTCCGGGAATTGTTTTCTGCCCCTTAGGGGGGAGCTAAGAGTTGAATGTGTCCCCCCGCTGTAAGGAACATCGGGTTACAGAACGTCTGTGACGGGCGGCACAGGAATCAGTGTGTAAGCGTCTCATATGAGAAGTAAGTGGGGTGAGCCCCTCTTGCAGGGGGGAAGCCACTAAGGTTCCCCGTTCTGTGCCCTCCCCAAGGTGAAGGCCCAGCTGGAAGAGCGGGAAAACAAGAAGTTCGCTACCTTTAAGGCCGTGGAGTTCAGGAGCCAAGTGGTCGCTGGAAGGAACTACTTCATCAAGGTTAGTGTCACCACGGGGGGCGGGGGGCAGTGACCTGGAGGCTGGGAAGCAGGAAGCTGATGACCTGAAGGGATCTGTCCCCCTACCCTGTCCAGAGCCTTAGGCAGGCTGGCCCAGCAGGGACACGTGGGGCCACAGGTCCTGGCTGCCCCTCACTTGCCTCTCCCCAACTTCCGTCTCTCCAGGTTCAAGTTGACGATAATGAGTTTGTGCACCTTCGAGTATTTCAAAGTCTCCCGCATGAAAACAAGCCCTTGGCCTTGTCCAGCTATCAGACCAACAAGGCCAAGCATGACGAGCTGGCGTATTTCTAGCTCCCACGCTGAGTGGGGCCCGTCCATGTGTTTCTGTCCACTGTGAACACATCTGGGATCAAAAGCGAGTGTCGTTTCTCCATGGGGCCACTTGGGGGGCGGGGGGAGGATCACGCACCTCTCTTGCGTCCCTGCCTTTGTCTTCCTGCCTTTTGGTGGGAGAGACAAAGCACTGTCACTGATCTTAATTACTTTCAAAGACGGCTTATATTCTCTTTAAATACACATTTTTAAATCTTCATGAACTTATTCCTTTGTTGGGGTGTTTTCTTGGAACTGAAACCATAATCCTATACAGGAGCATCGAGCGGTGAAGGGACGTGTTTCTGTGGTCATTCGCAAGCCCCAAGCCTGCTGTGGCACAGGGAGCCCTCCTGGGTCACACGCCAGCTGGGGCTCGCTGTACGCTCCTTCCCACTGCAGAGCTGAGCCCAAGGGTGGTTGCCCAAGGTCACAGCAAGTGGGCAGAGGACCCAGGATTCTGGGAGACCGTGTTCGAACCACAGCTCCCCGCACTCATGCCTCGACTCCATGCGGTCTCCCCCATAAAATGAAAGGATTTGGGTAGATCTGGTTCCAGAGCATTAGCTCTAGGGCATCTGGACACATTCACACGCTGCCTTCCGCTCTCGCAGAAACACAGATGTGTGTGCAAGAGGCCGTAACCTTCTGGGTAACGCAGGTGGGCGTGCAGGACAGTCGGTCGGCCTCGCTGCGCCCCAGGCCACCTGCAGGGTCTCTCGAGAATCTGCTCTGAGCTCAGTGTGCCGAGCCCGGGGCCGGCACATGTCTTGGGTTCTCCAGAGGGTCCCTGCCGTCAGGGACGTCGGTCCTGTGCTCGGTTGGCTTTCTGTCCGCATTTCGTAAATAAAGGCCACGGCATGACCACGTCTGGGAGAAGGAGGGAGGGTGTGGTGTCTTGTGTGGCTCAGGTCGTGGCAGAAAATCATCCTTGAGGGTTCAGCTTGGTCTCAGATTCCCAAACCTCTTTGCGTCTGTGGTGTGAGGGGGCCTCTGGTGTCTGGATCTTGGAGGGAAGAGCAGAGCACGGGAGGGTCGCACAGTGGGCAGAGAGTTCCAACGGTTTGAAGAAGAAAGCCCTAAAACGAGCCATGTGCGTCCTAGTCTCTGTCTGTCCTGGATCTGGAAGAATGGGAAGCTTCCCTAACAGGCTTTTTACTCTCGGCCGTCACGCCATTTTGCCCTGAAATGAAGATGGAGCATATTTCGTAACTCAGCTTGGGGAGATACTCGGGAGCTGGTTTGGGGGACATGCTGGGCTGGAGCTCCTCCACCTGCCCTACGGCCCCTCAATGTGGGGACCCGCATGGGGCTCCTGTCCGTGTCTCCCTACGACAGGATTTTCCTCCAGTTGTGCCACTCACACACCAGGTAGCCCTTCGTGCCAGGCTGGTGATGCCCCCCCAACCACGGCCCCTCACTGAGCTCTCCTCCATCACCCCTGGGAGTGCGCCAGGACCAAGAAGCCCACGAAAGGGACCTGGCCCACGGCTGAGCGTCCTAGACCCCGCGCTCAGGTTCCCCAGGTGGGAACGAGTCCCCTGGGCCAGCAGGTGGGCCGCCTTCCCGCTGCCCAGGAGCTTCCTCTCCTCTGCCCAGAATTCTTGCCAAACGTCACTTCTCCCCAAGCCTGACCCTGGGCCCCCCGGGCTGCCCAGGTCAGCACACTCAGCCAGGCCGGGTTCTGCCCATCCAGGGGCCCCTGGATTCCTCACCAGCTCAGAGGTCCCTAACTGCTCCCGGCACATGCTGCCCGCGGAAACCACAGTCAGCTGACTTAGATCAGGTGCACGCTGGCCTAGAGATAGAGGAGCCAGTAACGGATGTCACGTGGGTGCTGGACACAGTCCTCCGTGCCGCTTGCCTGTCACCACCAGGTGGGGTGTCTAGGAGACTCTGCCTCAGCTGCTTGGAAGTGGAATTCACATGTTTTCTGTCCTTGCAAAAGCAGGCATGTGGCTCCAGCAGACAAGGGCTAGACAAGGAGAATTCTAGAGGAATGTGTGAATTCCTCTACAGTCGGGTCTGGCCACAGGCTTTTAATCTAGGACTCCAATTACAAACTTGGGAGAACAGATTTGTAACCTATTAAGGGTTAATACTGCTAATGCATAAAGAACTCTTAAAAGTGGGGAGAAAAGGGAGCGCCTGCGTGGCTCAGTGGGTTAAGCCTCTGCCTTTGGCTCAGGTCATGATCTCAAGGTCCTGGGATCGAGCCCCGCATTGGGCGCTCTGCTCAGCCCCCCGCCCCCCGCCTGCTTCTCTGCCTACTTGTGATCTCTGTCAAATAAATTAAAAAAAAAAAGTGGGGAGAAAAGGATGAAAAATCCTATTGTAAAATAATCAAAGACCGGAACACAATCACAGTTAGAATGTCCATGTAGCAGTTTTTTTTTTTTAAAGATTGATTTACTTGAGAGAGAGCGAGAGCGCGAGCCCACAAAAGGAGAAGGAAAGACAGCAGTCCCCTGTGCAGGGACTGGCGACCTCTCGGGACTACACAGGCACACACGTCCTTGCAGCTGGCGCTCCCGCTGCACGGTGACCACGAGCAGAGTCGACAGTGGTTGACACCTGGGAGGTGGTTGACAAGTGACCAGAAGATGGAGGAGGGGGACCCTCACCTGGTTCAGGGCTTCCTGTCACTGTACCGTATCCCATTCACCTCTGCAGGACCCGGACCTCCCTCCTGTCCATCCTGACCCACCCTGGCCTCTGCTGTGGCAGCTCTGGCAGCGATGTCCGAACCCGTGGGACCCACGCCTCCAGAGCCCAGGGTGTCCGCCCCCCTGGGAGGTGGACTTTGACCGGTTGGAGATGGGAGAGATGGGAGACTTGGAAGCCCAGTGGGCAGCCGGGCCACACCCCCCATGCATCTTCTCTCCCTCTTCCTCCCTCCCTCTCCCTCCCTCCTTATCCCTTTTTCTGTCTCACCTGCCAGCCCGGGATGGCACCCCTTTCATACTACTGTAGCTCAAGGGTGGGGCCTAGGCTCTTCTCCAGGAACCGGGTCTGGAAAGCTCCAGGGTGGGGGCCTGGACTTGAGGCCAGTCTTCAGAACCAGGAATCCTCTCGATGGCTGAGATTTCCCAGCTGTGAGCGGTCTTCTGCTAGACCTTCTGTGCAGAGCCTCAGAGAGACGGGTGACTGGGTGAAGACCCAGATAACCTCGCCCCTGTCTCTTTATAGGACGTGGAGGGCTGACCTGGGTCCCGCCGAGGATGGGCCCGAACCTGTGGATGTTAACTTACTTGGCAAGGGGACGTTCAAGGTGTGATTAAGCTAGGGGTCTTGAGTTGAAGCGGTGACCCCGGGCTCTCTGGGGGGCCCAATGTCACCTTGGGGTCCTTAGAAGAGGGACTAGGAGGGCCATACTGCCGGCTGTGATGTGGGGGGCACGCGCCAGGAGTGCAGGCCTGTCTGGAAGCTGGAAACGGCAGAGAGTAGGTTCTCCCCGGAGCCTCCAGGAGGAAGCAGCTGGGCCCACCTAGCTCGACCTGTCCCCTCCCTGCCCCCAGCACAGTGCATGCGCCCGCGTCGCTCTAAACCACGGCAGCCACACACAGTCGTCCACCAGGAGGGCCTTGGGGGCCGACGAAGGGGCCTGGGAGAGTCCGCAGTGGTTTGACATGAAGCGAGAGGCCTTTCGGACACAAAGCGATTCCCCCGTTCGGTCGCACCCTCCTGTGCCTCTCTGGCAGGCGAGGAGCCTGGTACTCCCAGAGACCGCCTGCGGACCTACTCGCGAAGGTGTGGGTGAATCACGGCGGGAGCTCTGTACCTGCCCGGCCAGCGTGACCAGTGCCGGCCCGACGCAGGGCTGAAGGGCCCAGGAGAGGCAGTGACAGGGACCGATGGGTGGCTGAAGCCTGTTCTCAGACTCTGGCCTGGAGGTATCAGGGAAAGGAAACCCCACCCTCCCTGGCACCCCTGCCCTCCGGCAGGGCTCACAGGCCAGCCCCCAGGGCACAGCGCAGATGGGAGAGGGGACCTGGGCCTTGGCTGGCAGGTCAGCTCGGGTCAGGTCCGGCAGGCTCATTCCTTGGGGGGGGTCGTGTTCAGCGGGCGGGCTGTACCAGCGGAGCGGCTTCCTGTACTTAACCGGGAGCTCCTGATGGGACAGAGATCACTGAACAGCACGACCATCACCAGAAAGATTTACTTGTGGGTGATCGTGAGTCCACAGCGTACAGACACGGACTTTACAATGCCGGTGGGGACTTATAAACACCCACACACGCACAGAAGGCGGGCTGGACACCCCGGGGCTGCCCCCCCCCCCCCCGCCACCTGGACCTCAGGGACCCTCCCTCCCTCTCCCGCACGGCCGTCGCAACCATCCCAGCTAATGCCCCGGAAGGCCCAGCACCGCCGTCCTCCTGCCCACCCAGTCCTGCAATCGGCCAAAATCCGGGCTAAACGTCTAACTTGGAAAGGACGCGGCCGAGCCGCCGAGAGCACGCGCACACACTGCTGTCCTCGGGGCCCCCGTGTCGTCCAGGAGGGCCGCACCCCGTCCCAGCCACCTGCGCCGCCCGGCAGCGCGACGGTCCCGGGCTCTGGGGCGCACGAGGCCACGGTGTCGCGCGTTTCGCTTCCCTCTGTTCTTCGGGCTGCGGCCGGGCCCAGCGCCTCTCCCTCCCCGGCCGCGGAACCGGACCTCGGCCTCTCCCCGGCCGCACTCTTCCCTCCCCGCGCGAGCTGCGGCCGCGGAGACAGTGACTGCGGCGGCTCTAAAGCCAAGACCTCGGCCCACCACTAGGGACAGTGTGGTCAGTGCGGAGGTCCGGGTCCCCCGAGACCGCCGGCTCTGCGGAGCAGGAGCCCAGGGGTTCCGCGCGGCCGGCGCCCTCTGCTCCTCAGCTGGGCCGGGGGACGCGCGGGGCTGCGGGACGCGGAGGGACGCAGAAGCGGGCCCTGCCCCGTGCCGGTGTGGGCCGCGGCGGGGGGGCTGCACCGGCCCTGGCCCGCCCCCACCCCGGGGCTCTCAGGCCGCCGGGGCTCCGGGCCCCGAAGCTTCGGGGCCGCCCGTCCGCCCAGGAAGAAGCCGTCGGGACGGAGCCGGCAGCGCTCGGGTGGGGCCTGAGGTCGGCCCTCACGTCCCGT